CCCTGCACAGCCTGCCACCCTTCCCTGTCCTCCTCTTCCTATGTGTGTACAGGTGGCTGGTTTAATGGTCAGAGGACAGGCAGTGTCGTGTCTGAGCCAATGGCCATAGTACACCTTCGTACCAGGACCTTGGCCCCTGCCTGGGGTTTAGAGCTCCCTCCTGCAGGAAGTCCTCCAGCCAGAGCTGGCAAGGCCCTGGTGACCATGTTCTGAGACAGGGTCTTGGGTAAATTGGATTTGAAGTGGCTGGGGTATAGGCCTGGTAGGGATATGCCCTGATGAATACATTTCTGACTGTTCACCAAAATGGCAGCCCTCACGGCTGAGAGAATACACAGGAGCCAGCTTCATGGCTTCACCCACCTTCTCCTTCCCGAAACTGGCTCCTGCTCCCAAATCACTCGCTTCTGGGAAGGAGCTGTCAGAACCCCATGGCACAAACAGCATGTCCACTGGAGCCCACCAAACCCAGGTTTGAATCTCAGCTCTGCCCCTTATCAGTGGGTGAGCTTGGGAAATCAGAGCATTCCCAGAGCCTCAGTTTCCTTGTGTGTATGTGGGCATGATAATAGAATTGTGGCAAGAGTAAATAAAATCAGACATAGAAAGCAACTAGCACCTGGCACATGATAAGCAATCAGTAACCACGAGCTACTGATTCTTCCTCACTAGAATGTGAATTTCTTAAGAAAAGAGACCCAGTCTGTCTTGTTTGCTACCACATTGTCTGTGCCTGGCACACAGTAGGTGCTCATTAAATACTTAGTCAACAAATGAGAGAATGGGTGGTGGAAAGATACATAGATGCATGCGTGGGTGGACGGAGAAGGGATCCTGGAGTAGGGCGTTCTTCTCATACGTGGTGACAGCCACCTTGGAGTAAAAGAGGACCCCAGATTCCAGTTTCTCTGTCTTGCAGCTGCCCCTGACCCCCTAACCTGCCCTCTCCCCATCCAGGTATTCCAAAGTCAAGCATTTGCTGAAGGACCTGGATGACCTGATGAAAGCAGTCCTGGAGAGGATCCTGGCTCCTGAGACAAGCCATGTCAATGCCACCAGGGCCCTGAACTTCACCATCTGGAATCACACACCCCTGGTCCTTATTGACGAGCGGAATCCCAATCACCCAATAGTCCTTGACCTCTTTGACAATAACCATACTGGCTCAGCAAACAGCAGCCTCACACCAGGAAAGATCTGCAATGCCCAGGGCTGCAAAATGGCCATGAGACTAGTAAGTGGTCCCTGGGCACACATCAAACAATGAGCCCTATCCCACGAGGCTGATGGGAGTTTCTTTTCCTTAATAGCTTGGGTCTTTCTGGGGCAAGCCAGTACCTATCTTATATGTTGGCGGAGCTTTAAAAAAAAAATAGAAATAGCTGGTATGTTAGTCAAGATTCATTTGGATGCACATGACCCAGCTCAAATTAACTTAAGCAGAACAGGGAATTCATTGGCTCACATAACTGAGAAATGCAGGGGTATTTGGAGTTCAGGTATGGCTGGATCCAGGTGCCCAAATGCTGTCATCAGGGCTCTACCTCTCTCCATTTTGGTTCAGCTCTTCTCTCTGAAGACCTCATTTTCCAGCAGGCTCACTCCACATGGCCCTGCCAGTGTCAGTCCTATGTCCCACTGGTTCAGCAATCTCCCCAGAAAAAGAGCCCCTCTCTCCCAATAGCCCCAGCAAAAGTCCTAGGACTGACACATCAGGTCATAGGCTCACCTAACCCAATCACTCTGGGCTAGAGGATGGCTCTCAAGATTGGCCAGTCCTGGGTCATGTGCTCTGGAGCTGGGGGTGATGTCAGCTTCTGTCAGACCACATGGACTGAGCGAGGGGAAGCATGCTTCCCTGAAGGACGAATCAAGTCCTGTTATCAAAGAACAGGGACTTAAACACTGGACAGGTGAAAAGCCACAGCTGGGCAGTATAGTCAGATGCCAAGAAAGGCTGCCCTACACTGGGAGGCTGGCATGTCATTTGATCTTGGAGCCTGCAAGTGGGAAGAAATTCTCCTGTCTGTGGCTCAGGATCCCTGGGGGAGCTCTGTCATGGTACAGATCCATGGGCCCCACTCCTGGAGAATCTGAGTGGGTGGTTCTGGGCCCGGGCCCAGGAATCTGTATTGTCAACAGGCTCCCTGGTGATTCTGATGATCAGCCTCTGATGGGGACCTGGGTGGGGGCCACAGATGCCCTAGAAGAATTCCATGGGCCCCACTCCTGGAGAATCTGAGTGGGTGGTTCTGGGCCCGGGCCCAGGAATCTGTATTGTCAACAGGCTCCCTAGTGATTCTGATGATCAGCCTCTGATGGGGACCTGGGTGGGGGCCACAGATGCCCTAGAAGAAGGCGCCACTGCCGCCCTTGCTCACTCACGTGGTCTTGCTTCCCACAATCCCGGGACATCCCACCCCCACTTCTCCATGCAAACCAGCAAATGGCATGTGGCTGCTGAGCTCTAGTGCCAGCTCTGACCCAGGGCCCCGCTACCTTGTGGTGCAGCTAACCAGCTACCTGTGCCGATGTCCTCATCTGCAAAGCAGGCCCATCCTTGGGCCACACCAGCTGTCAGGGTCAGCTCTGTGTGTGTGTATACGTGTGTGTGCATGTGTGCACATGTGTGTGAGTATGTGTGTTGTATGCATGATTGTGTGCGTGCATGCATGGTGTGCACGTGCATGTGTGTGCATGCGCATGTGTGTGTTCGTGCATGTGTGTGCATGCATGTATGTGTTGTGATGTGTGTGCATGTGCGTCCATGCATGTGTTGTGATGTGTGCGCATGTGCATGTGTGCATTGTGTGTATGTGTGTGTGTTGTGGTGTGTGCATGCATGTGTGTGTGTGCATGAGTGTGTGTACATGTATGCATGTGCATGTGTGTATGTGTGTGTACATGCGTGTGTGTGGTTTGGGGGGCTCTGCTGTTGTTGCACCTTCCCTAACCCCTCTGGGCGTCAGCTTCGTCACTGAGAGTTTCTTCGTGGTGCTGGGGTTGATACTGATGCCTACCTCATTGGGTCGCTGTGAAAATTGAATGGGATGATAGAGGTCGGAAGTCCTGAGGACAGAGCCTGGGACAGAGCAAGGGTTCTGCACTTTCATTACCTCCCCAAGAGGAGAGGGAGGCTCCAGGAATGGGCCTAAGGACAAGGATGTAAATGAAATTCCTCTACCCAGCCTCTTGGGGGTGCGTTTGTGTGTCCAGAAAGAAAGACCAGCAGTGGCCTGGTGGCTGAGGTCAGAGTTCCCGGGCACAGCTGTCCTGCATCTGTGCAGTGAGCAGGACATCATGCTGGGCTGGCTGCGGTGAGGTGGAGGGGTCCCTGCACCAGTTGCGGGCTCAGTCTGTCGAGGCCCAGGTTGGTCTGAGAGTGGAGGAGGAGCAGAGTGCCCTGAGTCCTCATGTCCGCACAGCCTCCAGGGAAGCTGCGTCCAGAAATCCTGGGGAGGGGCAGGAGAGGAGACAGGGGTCAGAAGGGTCTGAGTGTGTGTGTCTGTCCATGTAAGTGTAAGTGTGGTGGCCACTTGTGTGACTCTTGGTACATTGATCTGGGGGGCTAGTATGGATAGGTGTGTGCATAGTTGTGACCATGACATCATGAGGCTGTGGATGTCAGCGTGGACATCTGTCTGTGCACGCATCTGTACACGAGACTGTGTGTGTTTGTCTGTGCATCCCGGTACATGGGGGGGGGGGGTTCCTGG